GGGAGGGGGTGGGGGCGGCGGCGACGCCGGGCGGCGCGGGGCGGTGGCGGGGGCCGCGCAGGGCGGCGAGGGCGGGGGTGGCACGAGGCGGCGGGGGCGGGGGCGGCGCAGTGGTGGACGATGTGGGCATCGGGAAGGAGGGAGGGAGAAGAGAGAGTAACGGGCGGGGGAGGGGGCTCGGCCGTTAGTTAGGTTAGTTAGGTTAGCCTTTGCCGTCCGCCCCACCTTTGCCGTCCGCTTTTGTTCATCTTTGTCGTCTGCTGCGGACGGCAAAGAGGGGGGACGTTAAGTTTTTTCGTTAGTGGGTGCCACCTCCCTCTTTGCCGTCAGCCAGCGGACGGCAAAGAAATGGCCGATGGCAAAGACCTTCTTTGTCGTCTGCCATTTGTTTGCCGTCTGCTTCTTGGTAGCTGATGGCAAAGACCTTCTTTGTCGTCCGCTAGCTGACGGCAAAGAGATGGCGGACGGCAAATTCCCTGATTCCAGTAGTGATGGGGACAGATCGAGACGCTTAATAGGACTTCCACAAAGCACATACCTTGACAAAGTTTTGAAGAAGTTCAAAATGGATCAGTCAAATAAAGGGTTCTTCCCTATGTTACAAGGTGTAAAATTGAGTTAGACTCAAAGCCCGACCACTGCAGAAGATGGAGAGAAAATGAAAGTCATTCACTATGCCTTAGCCATAGGTTCTATCATGTATGCTATGCTGTGTACCAGACCTGATGTGTGCCTTGCCATAAGTTTGGCAGGGAGGTACCAAAGTAATCCAAGAGTGGATCACTGGACAACGATCAAGAACATCCTAAAGTACCTAAAAAGGACCGATGATATGTTTCTCGCTTATGGAGGTGATGAAAAGCTCGTCGTAAATGGTTATGTTGATGCTAGCTTCGCCACTGATCCGGATGACTATAAGTCACAAACCGGATACGTATTTATATTGTATGGTGGAGCTGTCAGTTGGTGCAGTTCCAGGCAGAGCGTCATGGTGGGTTCTACATGTGAAGCGGAGTACATAGCTGCTTCGGAAGCAGCACATGAAGGAGTCTGGATGAAGGAGTTCATATCCGATCTGGGTGTAATACTCAGTGCATCGGGTCCAATGAAAATATTTTGCGACAACACTGGAGGAATTGCCTTAGCAAAGGACTAGGTTTAACAAAAGAACCAAACACATCAAGAGACGCTTGAACTCCATTCGTGAAAAGGTCAAGGATGAAGACATAGATATTTGCAAAATACATACGGATCTAAATGTAGCAGACCCGTTGACTAAGCCTCTTCCATGAACAAAACATGATCAACACCAAGACAACATGGGTGTTAGATTCATTACAATGTAATCTAGATTATTGACTCTAGTGCAAGTGGGAGACTGAAGTAAATATGCCCTAGAGGCAACAATAAAATTTTTATTTTATATTTCCTTATTCATGATAAATTTTTATTATTCATGCTAGAATTGTATTGATCGGAAACTTAAATGCATGTGTGGATACATAAACAGATACCATGTCCTTACTAGACTAGCTCGTTGATCGAAGATGGTTAAGGTTTCCTGACCATAGACATGAGTTTTCATTTGATAATGAGATCACATCATTAGGTGAATGATGTGGGGACAACACCCATTCGTTAGCTTAGCATATGATCGTTCTGTTTATTGCTACTGTTTTCTTCAATATCAAATACATGTTCCTTCGACCATGAGATCATGAAACTCCCGGATACCGGAGGAATACCTCGTGTGCTATCAAACATCACAACGTAACTGAGTGACCATAAAGATGCTCTATAGGTATCTTTGATGGTGTTTGTTGAGTTGGCATGGATCGAGATTGGAATTTGTCACTCTAAGTGTCGGAGAGGTATCTCTGGGCCCTCTCGGTAATACACATCACAATAAGCTTGCAAGCAAAATGACTAGGGAGTTAATTACAAGATAATGTATTATGGAACGAGTAAAGAGGCTTGCCGATAACGAGATTGAACTAGGTATGGAGATACCGACGATCGAATCTTGGACAAGTAACATACTGACAGACAAAGGAAATTACATATGTTGTCATTACGGTTCGACCGATAAAGATCTTCATAGAATATGTAGGAATCAATATGGGCATCTAGGTTTTGCTATTGGTTATTGACTGAAGAGGTGTATTGGTCATGTCTACATAGTTCTCGAACCCGTAGGGTCCGCACGCTTAACGTTCGTTGACGATATAGTGTTATATGAGTTATATGATTTGGTGACCGGATGTTGTTCGGAGTCCCGGATGAGATCACAGACATGACGAGGAGCTTCGAAATGGTCCGGTGGTAAAGATTAGTATATAGGACGATGATATTTGGACACCAGAAGAGTTTTGGAAGGTACCGGGTAGTCATTGAATCACGAGAAGGGGTTCCGGGAGGCCCCGGGAGGTATATGGGCCTAATGGGCCAAGGGGAGGCACACACCAGCCCACAAGGGGGCTGGCGCACCCTCTCCCTTGGCGGCCGGCCCTATGGATGGAAAGGAGGGAGGGCTAGCCCCTCTTTCTTCCTTCCACCTAAGAGGAAGGAAAGGGGGGACACCTCCTCTTGCCTTCCTCCCACATGCAAAGAAGGAAGGGGGGTGGCTAGGGGCAGGAGCCCAAGTGGGATTCAGACCCACTTGGGGAGCCTCCTGGATGCCTCCCCTCTCCCCCACCTATATATGTGTGGGAGGTGGGCGCCACACAGAACCACGACAATCTCTTAGCCGTGTGCGGCGTCCCTCTCCACAGTTTCATCCCTCGGTCATATTTTTGTAGTGCTTAGGCGAAATCCTGCGGAGATAGCATCACCATCACCGTCACCATGCCGTCGTGCTGCCAGAACTCATCCACTACTTCGCCCGTCTTGTTGGATCAAGAAGGCGAGGACGTCACCGAGCTGAATGTGTGTTGAACGCGGAGGTGACGTACGTTTGGTACTCGGCCGGTTGGATCGCGAAGAAGTTCGACTACATCAACCGTGTAACTAAACGCTTCCACTTACGGTCTACGAGGGTACGTAGACACACTCTCCCCTCTCGTTGCTATGCATCTCCATGGATAGATCTTGCGTGTGCGTAGATTTTTTATTTATTTTCCATGCAACGTTCCCCAAGTATGCATAGGTCTTGACAATGTTTTATTTTGTAGCCATCTCAGTCGTGTACGGTGTTCAAGAAGTTGGAGAAGAAAAACTTCACCGTCATGCATTGCTGGTTGAAGTTGAATAGGCAACCAAAGTGGAACCTATTCATAGCCAAGACCACTACCTAAGTCACCGAGGAAGAAACCGGGGATCCAACCGGCCCAACAAAACAACCGCCAAGAGGATTAGAAGCGGGTTCCGGGAAAGAAGTGGGAGGAGGAGAGGGCGAAGCAATAAAGTGTGGTTTCCAAGTTGATGGAAAAGTTCGAGGACATCTTGTCGAAGCAGGATCCATATGTCAAGCGGTCCGACATCAAGGAGGAGAAAAAGACGGAGAGATTCAAACTATTGATGGAGACGACCTAGAAGAAGCTGGCGCACGAAGAGAAAAGGGCCTCGATCGAGGAGAAGAAGGCCATGCTCGAAAAAAGAAGATGAAGATCGGAACCGATGCGGAGGACGCCAATATGTTGTCCTTGAAGGTGGAGTCTTTGGATGCAGACGCAACAATCATCATGCAAGCCGTCCGCTAGAAGATGTTGCAGCGACAACATGAGGAGTCGGAGGCGGCGGACAAAGAGGAGGAGGCTGCTTACGCGGCGTGACGACACCTTGAGCGTGAAGGAGGGTCAGATCGGCAGGGCCAAAAATGTCTATTTTTTGCACGGGCCGACGGATGGATATTCTTTTGTCACGGGCATATAAAAACTTAAGCATACTTGCCTTTTTTTTATGTGATCGGGCATGTGATCCGACGTGGTGCGATCTAGCGCGTTATGGATCAGACTTTTATTTGAATTTCAAATTGTTGTTTACTGGCAGACATATACACGATAGAATTGGATGGCGGTCTCCTTCATCAGTGTCCGTGGACTGGTCCCCCTGTCTGCGGACATATGACGGAGCGGATTTACATGTCATCGTTGGAGATGCCCTAACAAGCGCATACCTATCTCCCTTGGGGCAGAAATCTGCCATGATTAGTGATGAATAGACCGGAAGTTTTCCTCAAAACAAAGTGAAATAGTTAAACTCACTTCTCCAAAATAATCAAATTTTCTGAAATAATGAAATATTGGCATCATTTGGATGTTGCCTAGAATTGTTTATTTAGTATGTTTACATTACCTATATATGAATACAGAAATCCAAATTTATTACATATACATAGTGTATAGATATCCCAGAATACATAGGGAGGTAGAGCAGTAGGAGCATCGCTAGAAAGGCTTTTGCGCGTCGATCAATTCAGACCCAAGCACCTAGCAAGTGAGGTTGTTCCCTGGGTCGACGTTGAACTGCTTGCAGTACTCCGTGTAGTAGCCCGCCCGCGCGCTCACCAAGTCTGGCCTCTTTCCGTCGCACTCCACGTCGCCGTTGATTTTCCTGGTCGTCTCGCCGAACCCCTGCGGCACGGCCTGGTGCACGTTGGTCATCCAGAACCAGAACGCCGCCTTGAACGTTAACGCCTGGTCCTGCGCCACCGTGTCCGGGCTGTTGAGCCCGTCGAACCCGGTGCTCTCCCCGGCCGCCCCGTAGTTGTAGTTCCACGACAGCTGCAGCGGCCCGCGCCCGTAGTACGCCTTCCCCGGGGTACACGGCCATTGCGTGTTCGTCTCGTCGCAGTAATCCTTGCTCGCCCCTCCGTTCTCCTCGATGGAGCACATGTCTGCACACAAGTTACATACAGCCAGCTTAATCATGGAGAGGTAAATTCCTCCAGTGTTGGTAGTAGTAGTTAGTTGGAGCTTGGAGGTGAACTTACGCCCAGTCTCGTGGATGAAGTGAGCGAAGAAGGCGGCTATCTCCCTCTTGCCGTCGTCGCTGGTGCTGCCTTTCCCGAAGTCGGGGTTCGCCTGGGCGCCGTCCAGGAAAAACTGGCGCGTGTAAAAGCTCTTGCCGGGGCACCCCTCGTCGGCTGCCTGGGACTTGATCCCGTCGAAGAACGCATCGGTGACGACGCTCTCCACGGGATCGCCGCTCCCGCCGCCGCTCGCCGTGCACGGGCCCGACCGACAATCTTGTCCGCAGTACCTGTCATCGGTCCCGCAATAACCGTACTTGCTGCAGCACTCGTTCGGCTGGCAGCCGCAGTTCTGCGCCGCCACCAGTCCGGCGCCAGATAGGACTAGTGCTGCTAGCCCGAGAGCCAAGATCGCCATGGGGGACTTCGCCATGTCGAATCAAGGTTTGCTTGTTGAGGCCCTAGTAGCTGCTTGCTTACGAGGTGACTGTGCATGGCAAGGCGCGGTGGCAAGCGGTTTATATAGAATAATAGACACAGCAGGTTTGATCTTGTGGACGACTATGGCGTCAAGGTTGGACTAGATCAAACCAACCTTCGTTCACAGATTCACACGGCTTGTCGACTATCATGACTTTTCTTTGCAGGTGTCATGTTTCAAAGCTTAGTCTGATGCGTACCCTGCACGCCCGTGCACTTGCTGTCTCGCCGTACGAGAGTTCGGCAGGTTCAGACCAAATGCTCGTCGTGTTGATCGGGGAACATCTGTGCTAACTGCTCAGTAGTCATTTCTTCTCTCTGCGCGGCCAGGAGTGAGTTACGCATGCATATCCGGGTTCACGGAAGCTTCACAGAAAGCGCGAATTTATTGATACCCAGCAACACAGCAGAAAACAGCTTGATCGGTCTAGAAAGGAAGACTCTTCATGTTCAGTCCACTGTGGAAATGCTGGGTCATTCGACGGCTAAAGTAGGTGCCTGTTGCTGTCAAAGATTGCCAAGAGCAACTACAACCATAAATCGCAAAATCCGTCCCCGAACACGTTCGCGCACATTGACCGATCAACACACAAAAAATCGTTTCCACAATCAGATACCCCATTTACAAATAATCAAATCCATATGATCGCATGCAACTGCCAGCGACCGTCCTTGTTGTTCCGGCCATGTCCATGTCCGGCAGCCGGCTGCGCTCCTCGGAATGAAGGTGTGGTTGCCAGAAGAGGTAGAGTAGGGCATGGGACATGCACCGACGTGTCACATTCCCTACTCTTCCTCGTCGGATCCCGGAGCCAGCACATCGTCGGTGACGTGAGATTGACTATGGATCCATCATGGTTGGAGGCCGACACGTCCGCCGCGACGGTTGCGGCGCCAAGGGGTCACCACCCACCCGTTGCGGCGCCAGAGAGGCGACTCTGCCTCGACGACGTCTGCCGTGAGGGTTGTCGCGGTCTCCCGCTCGCTGCCTCGCACGACGGGCACACCGCGCTATATTTTCATTAGACGTGAAGTGACTGGGCACCTCCGCCTAGGCGCGTCAACGAAGCGGTTGTGCATCTGCCATGACATTCGGACGCCAGACAGACCGCTCCGCCTCCGGCAAGGCAGCGGCGATGCACCTCGCACCGGATCCATACACCATATTGGGGACGCAATGGATTCTCACTGAATGGAGTCTGTCCCTGTTGGTCAGACTCCTCCCAAGGGCGGCGTAGCACAATGCAGGGTCGTGTGGGACGAGTTCCCAGTCAACAGATCGGGAGGTGCGGGACTTGAATCAGCTACTCGCCATGCCGGAGAAGGCCGGAGATCGCCAGAAAAGGGAGCTTGGGGTGGAGGGGAGTGGAGGGGGAATGGAGTGGAGCGAAATGTGTCTAGGGTTTCGTCCGAAGTGCGGATATGGTTCAATATATGTGGGGTCGGGTGGCCACTGTCGGATTGATCCGAGGTGGTGGGTGCATCTAGGCGTCCCATATCCGTCCTAGATATGGGTTGGATATGTGAGTTGCCAGTTAGTCTGGGCGTTTGGGCCGGATTTGCCATGTTTGGTTTGGTGGCAATTTTGCGTCCGATGAGTGTTCGGGCAGCCGGCTGATGACCCACAAGTGTAGGGGATCTATCGTAGTCCTTTCGATAAGTAAGAGTGTCGAACCCAACGAGGAGCAGAAGGAAATGATAAGCGGTTTTCAGTAAGGTTTCCTCTGTAAGCACTGAAATTGTAGGTAATAGATAGTTTTGTGATAAGGTAAATTGTAACGAGTAATAAGCAATGAAAGCAATGAAAGCAATGTAACAAAGGATAAGCCTGGACAATTTCTTATAATGAGGAAGGAGCTCCCGAGGACACATGGGAATTATTGTCAAGCTAGTTTTCATCACGTTCATAAGATTCACGTTCGGTACTTTGATAATTTGATATGTGGGTGGACCGGTGCTTGGGTACTGGCCTTACTTGGACAAGCATCCCACTTATGATTAACCCCTATTGCAAGCATCCGCAACTACAAAAGAAGTATTAAGGTAAATCTAACCACAGCATTAAACATATGGATCCAAATCAGCCCCTAACGAAGCAACGCATAAACTAGGGTTTAAGCTTCTGTCACTCTAGCAACCCATCATCTACTTATTACTTCCCAATGCCTTCCTCTAGTCCCAAATAATGGTGAAGTGTCATGTAGTCAACGTTCACATAACACCACTAGAGGAAAAGACAACATACATCTCATCAAAATATCGAAAGAATACCAAATTCACATGACTACTAATAGCAAGACTTCACCCATGTCCCCAGAAACAAACGTAACTACTCACAAAGCATATTCATGTTTATAATCAAAGGAGTAATAATATGCATTAAGGATCTGAACATATGATCTTCCACCAAGTAAACCAATTAGCATCAACTACAAGGAGTAATCAACACTACTAGCAACCCACATGTACCAATTTGTGGTTTTGATACAAGATTGGATACAAGAGATGAACTAGGGTTTTGAGAGGAGATGGTGCTGGTGAAGATGTTGATGGAGATTGACCCCCTCTCGATGAGAGGATCGTTGGTGATGATGATGGTGATGATTTCCCCCTTCCGAAGGGAAGTGTCCCCGGCAGAACAGCTCCGTCGGAGCCCTAGATTGATTCCGCCAAGGTTCCGCCTCGTGGCGGTGGAGTTTCGTCCGTAAGCTTGCCCAAGATTTTTTCCAGGGTAAAAGCCCTCATATAACAGAAGATGGACACCGGGGGGGGGCACCAGGGGACCCAGGAGATAGGGGCACGCCCAGTAGGGGTGGGCGCGCCCCCCACCCTCCTGGCCAGGGTGTGGGCCCCCTGATGTATTTCTTCCGCTCAATAATTCTTATTAATTCCAAAAACATGCTTCGTGGAGTTTCAGGACTTTTGGAGCAGTGCAGAATAGGTTTTCAATGTTTGCTCCTTTTCCAGCCAGAATTCCAGCTGTCGGCATTCCCCCTCTTCATGGTAAACCTTGTAAAATAAGGGAGAATAGCCATAAGTATTAAGATATAATGTGTAATAACATCCCATAATGCAACAAATATTGATATAAAAGCATGATGCAAAATGGACGTATCAACTCCCCCAAGCTTAGACCTCGCTTGTCCTCTAGCGGAAGCCGATATCAAAAAATATGTCCACATGTTTAGAGATAGAGGTGTCGATAAAAATAAAATATGGACATGAGGGCATCATGATCATTCTTGTAATAGCAACATATATAGATTTTATCATATGATTTCTTATACTCAAGTAACAATCAATTCACAATGTCAAGTATGGTTCAAAAACTTCATTGAGAACTAACAAACTATAATCTCAGTCATTGAAGCAATTGCAATTTATCATAACATTAGAAAGAGTCAACAATAGAGCCTTTTCAGCAAGTCCACATACTCAACTATCTTGTAGTCTTCTACAATTGCTAACACTCACGCAATACTTGTGGTTATGGAGTTTCAGCTAGACACTGAGAAAGATAGGGGCTTATTATGTTGCCTCCCAACGTATTCACCTTTAGGTGATGTCAACAATAATAGCCTATGCTAACTTACATCCAGTTGGATATATATATATATCATGATCTTTCAAACACGAGGAGTTTGCCAAAGGATAAAATGAAAAAGGGAAAGGTGAAGATCACCTTGACTCAAGCATAAAGTAAAAAACATAAAGTAAAAGATAGGCCCTTCGCAGAGGGAAGCAGAGGTTGTCATGTGCATTTAGGGTTGAATGTACGGAATCTTAATGCAAAAGAACGTCACTTTATATTGCCCCTTGTATGTGGACCTTTATTATGTAGTCTGTCGCTTTTATTGCTTCCACAACAAGATCGTATAAAGCTTATTTTCTCTACACTAATAAGTCATACATATTTAGATAGCAATTTTTATTGCCTGCAACATGACAACTTACTTGAAGGATCTTACTCAATCCATAGGTAGGTATGGTGGACTCTCATGGCAAAACTGGGTTTAAGGATGTTTGGAAGTACAAGTAGTATCTCTACTTGGTGCAAGGAATTTGGCTAGCATGAGGGGAAAAGGCAAGCTCAACATGTTTGGTAGGTCAATAACAATATACTTTAACTGAGATGTGAGAAAACATAAGCCATTACGTTGTCTTCCTTGTCCAACGTCAACTCTTTTAGCATGTCATACTTAATGAGTGCTCCCAAATAATAAAAGATGTCTAAGATAATATATTTATATGTGAACCTCTCTTTCAATATCACTTCCTATTAATTGCAACGATGACCAAAACTACGTTTATCAACTCTCAACAACTTTTATGCCTCATACTTTCTATGTGTGAAGTCATCACTAACCATAAGATCAATATGAACTCTTTTATTCTTTCTACTTTATTAGGATCATAGAAAGATAGCAAAGCCCTTGACTCTACACTAATCTTTATTATAGATAGCTCACGGACTCGATTACATAAAGAGATCACAAAGCAAAACTCAAAACTACTTGATAACAAAACTTCAATCTACTAGATCAAGATACTACTAAAAGGATCGAACTAAATAAAACGGTCAAGATAGGAGTGTGATGGTGATACGATACCGGGGCACCTCCCCCAAGCTTGGCAGTTGCCAAGGGGAGTGCCCATACCCATGTGATTATGTCCTCGGAGGTGGTGAAGTGGGAGTTGTTGATGATGTAGGCTTCTTCCTCAACTTTCGCTTGAGTATAGTGTTTTCCTCTTTAAGGTCCTTGATCTCCTGCTCAATGCTTAATACTCTTTTGCACAATTCCTGTTTATTTTCCTGCAAGAGACAAAAAGGGATAAACTCGATCTTTGGCTTCTTTGCTCTATCAGGGAGGCTTGACTTTTTAAACTCCACATGCATGTCCCCAGGTTGAGGTAATGGGGCTTCGTCTTCGTCTGAACTAGTTTCCTCCTTTC